GGGATAGGAGGTCCCCCCCAGTTGGATCCCCCTACAACAACAATAATTTCATAGCCATCCATGGGAAAAAGTGACTTTCGGAGTGTCTTGAGATTCAGGTAGGCATTTGTGAAACCCAGGACCTAGAAAGGTTGCTTTGAGAAGGCAGACAGACCCACAGCAAGGTGGCAGACCTGCTGTTCTGGTCCCAGCTCCCTATTCCGGTAGAGACCCTATTCTATAGAGGGCTTAGGACCAGAGACAGCAGCCACCCAGGGACTCCTTGGCCTCTGGGCCTGCAGGGAGCTGTGGCTCAGGTGCATCCCACACACTCCCAGAGCACAGAGTCCAAGAAGTGGGAGCTTTGTGGGGACCCACAGAGTGGAAACCTGGGATGATTACTGGTTGTACACACAGAGGAAAAAACAAACCACACAAGTGAAATATATAAACATATAAATATAGTTATATGTACATAAACATGTATTTATTTTTATTATTTTTTGGATGGAGTTTCACTCTTGTTGCCCAGGCAGGAATGCAATGGTGCGATCTTGGCTCACTGCAAACTCTGCCTCCCATATTCAAGCGATTCTCCTGCCTCAGCCTCCCAAGTAGCTGGGATTGCAGGCACCCACCACGACGCCCAGCTAATTTTTGTATTTTTAGTAATTTTTGTATTTTTAGTAGAGATGGGGTGCCACCATGTTGGCTAGGCTGTTCTCGAACTCCTGACCTCAGGTGATCCACCCACCTCAGCCTCTCAAAGTGCTGGGATTACAGGCATGAGACACTGTGCTTGGCCCATAAACATTTATATTCTAAGCTTAAAAATTATTCATGCTAGAGTTTATTTATACAAATATGACAGAAGTGTATGCACTTATGCACTGTTCACCTCATTTATGTGAATATTTAGTAGACATACCTGCTGTTCTGTACCTCACTCTCTTAGCCTCACATCTTGCCTCCCTTGACGTGTGTGCACATAGAGGAAGATGCATTTTAAATGATCCTCTTTCTCGTTGATTTAGAACTGGTTGAGTTTAAAGCTCATTTCTGTAGAGTATCTACCCTCTAATATTCTGTAAAGCAGGGGCCCCCAACCCCGTGCAGCAGACAGGTACTGGTTTGTGGCCTGTTAGGGACTGTACTGCACAGCGGAAGGTAAGCGGTGGGTGAGTGAGTGAAACTTCATCTGTATTTACAGTGGCTCACCATCACTTACTTTACTGCCTGAGCTCCACCTCCTGTCACATCAGTGGCAGTATCAGATTCTCATAGCAGTGCAAACCCTAATGTGAACTGCACATGCAGGGGATCAAGATTGCATGCACCTTATGAAAATCTAATGCCTGATGATCTGTCACTGTCTCCCATCACCCCCATATGGGATCATCTAGTTGCAGGAAAACAAGTTCAGGGCTCCCACTGATTCTACATGATGGAGAGTTGTAAAATTACCTCATTATATATTGCAATGTAATAATAATAGAAATAAAGTGCACAATAAATATCATGTGCGTGAATCACCCTGAAACCATCTTTGCCTCTCCTCTCCCTGCCACAGTTTGTGGAAAAGTTGTCTTCCACGAAACTGGTCCCTGGTGCCAAAAAGATTGGAGACCACTGCTGTAAAGGCATAGGCTGTGTGTGTGTGTGTGTGTGTGTGTGTGTGTGTGCGCGCGCGCGTGCGTGCTGAGGTCTCCATGCTGGGGGACATTCAGGTAGAGACTATCAGGCATGCAGTAGCTGGGCTGTGCAGAGCTCATGTGTTCATTGGATGGGTGGCTGGGCTCCCTGGATGTTCAGTTCCCAGACACAGAACAGCTGATGTCTCCCCTGCAAGAATCCACCTGTGAGTCTGCCTTAACACCTACCAGGTGTTCAAATTCTCTGTTGCTGCTTCACCACAGATAACTCTTCTGGATTCAGGCCAAGGCTCCTGTGTCCGGGAGGTTGCTCCCCTACCCATCATCTACAGCCAAAGAGACCAGGTAGTGAGGGCAGGCTGCACCTTTAGGGCCCTTCTCCAATACAGCGCAAGGCCATGTCTCTGCCCGCTGTGGGATCCGGGTCAGACCCCATATCCAGCTTACACAGCACCCACAGCAACAGCAGGAACAGCGAGTTACACTTGCTGAGCCTTTAGTCGGCCTTGTGCATTTTGCCTGCATTGTCTGTTTTAAGTATTACGACAGCCATGTGAGGCGGGTGCTACTGAAACACCCATTTACAGATGTGAAGGAGCACAGCCCGGTGGTGGGGGTGGCACAATGTGAGGCTGAGTGGGTGGTGTGGGTGTACAGCCCGGCTCCACCAGCTGTGCGACTGTGGGTGGTCACTTAAATATTTTCCAGCCTTAATGTTTCATTTGTAAAATGAAAAACAAGGTGGCTGATATACTTCAAGGACTTAAAACAGGCTGTGTGAGTTAGGTTGGCAAATGGTGGTGGTCACCATTCCGGCTCTAGGCTGCCTGCTCATCCCAGGCACACAGGAGGTCTGCAGTGAGTGGAGCCCCTCTAGCCACTGAGGACGCTTTCTTCTGCATCCCTAGAACCCCGCCTCGTTCATCAAACTCTGGCTTTGCTCCCTGAGCCTAATAGGGGTGGAACCGCCAGCAGGTGAGGTCTGTCCTTGCAGAGGGAGTGGGGATTTTGGGGGATGCACCTGACCCCACTGAGGCTGTAGGGCCAGCTGCCTGAATCCCCTGGCTGATTGAGCTGGCAGTGGTGGTGGGGTGGCGGAGGTTTGGGGGCTCCCCAACACCCAGCCAGTGTCAGGAGCACTGTCTTCCCTGCCCTCCTGCTCAGTAGCTCTGCTAGGAGCCCCCTCCTTCAAGCACCCCCTCTCCTGAGTCCACCCCGCAGGGCAGTTCTGGACAGGATCCAGGGAGAGCCAGGAGGGGAGCCCTGGGTCTGTGGGAGGAGCATCCTGCGTGTGGGAGGAGGAGCCAGGTGCTGATCCAAGGGCCTCCAGATATTTCCCCTCTGGGGCGACTACATAGCCTGAGATTCCTTCGTTATTAATGTCCCTGTGTCAATATGACATTGACCCTAACGAATGGGTGCAGAACAGCATGGCAGAGGAAAAAGGTTTGGGCTTGAGGGTCTCACAAACCTGGCTTCCTGTGAGCTCTGCAACTTGGGCTAGAGGCCTGTCCTCTCTGAGACTCAGTTTGCTCTTGTGTTAAATGGACGCATTCCCTTCTCTGGATGCCATCACTCGGGTCTCTCCAACAATCCCAGGGCTCTGGCTCAGAGAACTGAGGGGAGGTTGGTGTGAAGGCGTTGGGCATGGTGATGCAGGTGAGCATCTGACATGAGCAGGTGCGCTTGACCTAGAGTAGGTGGAACGCAGTAGGCATGCTTTACCTAGAGCCCCTGCCGCACAGTAGGAGTGCTTTGTGGAGAGTGCCCTGCACACAGTAGGCATTCTTTATGTCACGAACTTTGCACAGAGTAATTTTACTTTATGTAGAGCACTCAACACACAGAAAGAACACTTTATGTAGAGTATCTGGCACACAGTAGGTGTGTTTTATGTAGAGGATGGGACACACGGAGTCAGAGTTTATGAAGTGTACCCAGCGCATAAAACATAAAGAGTAGGCACGCTTTATGTAGTGCACTTGACACACAGAAAAACACTTTATGTAGAGCATCTGACACACAGTAGGTGTGCTTTATGTAGAGTACCGGACACATGGAGTCACAGTTTATGAAGTGTACCCAGCACCCAGAGTAGGCACACTTTGTGTAGAGCGCTTGGCGCACAGTAGGTGCACTTTACATAGATCACCAGGCACGTAGTAAACATGCTCTAAGTACAGCATCTGACACACAGTAGGTGTGCTTTATACAGAGCAGCAGGTGCGGAGTAGGTACACTTTACAAAAGTTACTCTGCACAGATTTCATTTTATGTAGAGGACCGAGAACACAGAAGCACGATTTTCTGTAGAGCACCCAGCACACAGTGGGCACACTTTACACAGAGCGCTTGGCACACGGTACACGACATGTATACAGAGTACCTGGCACAGGGTGGGCGTGCTTTATGTAGAGTCCAGCCCACAGGATATTCCAACATTGCATATTGTCTTTTGCAAAGAGCAGAGACTGACACACAGCAGCTACAGTTACTCCCTGTTTTTCAGGCTCCCTCCTCAGAATCTTTCATCTGTCCCCGTCTAAGGCCCATTTTCCTGTGATCCCTCCTCTGTTCCCCTCTAAGGCCTCATCTGACGTCCCATTTCCCAGATGGGAAGCCTGAGTCCAGGAGGGGCACACTGCCCACAGTTAGAGCAAGGAGAAGGCAGAATAAGGACTCTACTCAGGGTCTCTTGTCTCTGCCCCCCTGGCCCCATCCACTCATGGCCCCTCTCAGCCTTACCTCCCATGCCCCATCTCTGTCCTCCTATTCTGAGCCCAGCCTCCAGGTATTCTCCTCCAGCAGGGCTCTTTATCTCTGGAATCGGACCGGGTAATCCCCAGCACAGTTAGGTAGTTTGTTCCTGCTCCTGTCAGTCATGTCTCGACCCAGGCCCTGGGTTCCCTGGAGGCAGGACTTGACCTCCTGCCAGGCTGTGAAGCCAGAGGCCAGGAGCTTCTGTCTCTGAATCTCCTAAGTCTGCACTGAGAAATGGTGCATAGCGAACTCCTGGACCACACGTGAAGAGGAGCTCAGAAAATGATCTGGGACAAGGGTTGGCCTGGCCCTGCTCACCTGCTGCCTGAACTCTCAAGTTTATGCCTTTATCTGCCACACCCTTGCCTTGGAAGGGCAGGGTGGCTGTAAACTTTGGGACTCAGAGTCACCTTTGACTGTTCCTTAAGGTCCCCTCCCACTCAAGTATGAGATGCGGAGACCTGAGGATCCAGAGTCCATGCTGTGTCACCGTCAGCTGGATCCTCTGCACCCAGTTGGCCCAACGCCAGGTTTTGGTTGGCTGTCCAGGCACGGAAGACACACCCAGGCTGTAGGGATTGGCTTGCCCAGCCCAGCCTCCCACAACCTTCCCTAAATCGCAGAGGGGGAGAGGAGGGTGTGTGGGACTAGCTGCTCCTGACAGAAGGTGCCAGGCTGGGGGTGGTAGGGTCCTGGTCTGGGATGGGGAGAGGTACTACCCAAGGCTGGGGTGGGTCCAGGCTACTGACCTGGGAAACTGGTGATTTCCTGGTATCCGGACCCCTGGCAGCCTCCCAGTGATTCAGGCTGGGTCTTTCTGGATTCTGCTCAACCTCTCTCTCTCTTTCCCTTTCTGCGTAACTGGAGGCCACTTGGTTGCTGGTTTTCATTGGGTGTTTCTGGACTTTAGATCTCAGCTCTTGTTTACCCGTGTCAGAGCCTTCCCTGATCTGCCTCCAGCACTGCCCTTCCTTACCCCTCTCCACTGTTCCTGGAACTTCCTGGGCCCTTCCCTGGGCCTCAGTGTCTCACCCTCCATCCCATCTGCCCTGAAGGATGCTGCAGCTGAGCCTGTCCTGGCTGGGCCTCGGGCCGGTGGCAGCGTCCCCGTGGCTGCTCCTGCTGCTGGTCGGGGGCTCCTGGCTCCTGGCCCGTGTCCTGGCCTGGACCTATGCCTTCTATGACAACTGCCGCCACCTCCAGTGTTTTCCGCAACCCCCGAAACAGAGCTGGTTTTGGGGACACCAGGGCCTGGTGAGTTTGGTAGCAGGATGGGTCTGGGATCTCAGAACGGATGGAGTTCTTGAGGGGCAGGAATGAGGCTCAGGGAGCTGGGTTTTGAGGGTGGCTGGGGTGTGGGAACACAGAGAAGAGAGGGAGGCAGCTCGCTCATTCCTCTCCTCACTCGCTCACTCCTCTCCTCACTCACTCACTCCTCTCCTCACTCGCTCACTCCTCTCCTCATTAAACTCCTCCTCTCTCTCGCTCCTCCCTCTGCTCACTCGCTCACTCCTCTGCTCAACAGCTCACTCCTCCTCCTCCTCACTCCTCTCCTCACTCGCTCCTCCTCTCCTCTCGCTCTCACTCCTCTCCTCGCTCGGCTCACTCCTCTCTTCGGCTCTCGCTCCTCCTCTGCTCGCTCGCTCCTCCTCTGCTCACTCGCTCACTCCTCCTCCTCCTCAACAACTCCTCTCCTCACTCTCGCTCCTCCTCTCCTCCTCGCTCATTCCTCTGCTCACTCACCTCCTGTTCCTCTGCTCACTCACTCACTCCTCTCCTCGCTCACTCCTCTCCTCACTCGCTCACTCCTCTCCTCACTCGCTCATTCCTCTGCTCACTCACTCATTCCTCTGCTCACTCACTCACTCCTCTCCTCACTCACTCACTCCTCTGCTCACTCACTCATTCCTCTGCTCACTCACTCATCACTCCTCTCCTCACTCGCTCATTCCTCTGCTGCACCATCCCAAGTCTTTTCTCTCCTCCCTTTCCTCCCACTCCAGCCTGCTTGGATCTTTTCCTGCCTGTCTTCCCTGTGTTACTGCGCCTCTCAGGGGCTCCTGTGGGCGTGGTGTGGGTGCGCAGAGCAAAGATCTCCTGGCATTTGCACCTTCTGTACTGCTGGACTTGAGGCCTCCCGAGCCCACTGTCCAGGGGCTGCTCCCTGCCTGGCCCATTTGCTTGTGTCTGCCCCTCTCTGGGCTGCTGCTTTCCCACAGGAATTAGCTCTGAGCCCCTTTCCCTATGCAGTGGGGCCAGAAGAGAAGTGTGGGCAGTCTCCCGCTGCCTCTTTTCTGGAGGCAGCTTCCTCCTATCTTGCTCTTCCTCACTAACATGTCCCAGTCAGCCTTGTTGCCTGCCTGAATAAAAGCTGGTCACTCCCTTCTCTTTTCAGAAGCTGCCCTTGACTCCCCAGACCTTGGCCTCTGACTTAGACCTGCTCTCCCATTTGAGGGACATAGCCTTGGTCTGCTCACTTGTAAATGGCATGATTGATAGGCGTGTCCACGGGTGCAGTGGAGGGTGCACAGGACGCACTAGCACAGAGCCTGGACTGCGGGAGGGGCTGACTGTGGACAGTTAGAGTCACTCCTGTGCCCCTGGGGGCTGCTGAGAATGGAAGGTCCCCAGTGTGGAAGCAACAGCAGCCCACGCAGACCAGCTGGGATGTGAGAGGGATGTGGGAACCAGCCACAGGGACACGTCCTGAGGCCACACTGCTGTCTACAAACCTCCTTTCATGGGGACTTTTCCATGTGGCCGTCCCCAGGTTGAAATCATTTCTAAGATGAGAAAACACATCCTCTTGAGCAGACAGCTTGCCTTCTCCCTCTGCCTTGGTATTTACCCTTGGATCTTTATTTCTATTTATTTAGTTATTTTTTGAGGCAGAGTCTCACCCTGTTGCCGAGGCTAGAGTGCAGTGGTGCGATCTCAGCTCCCTGCAACCTCAGCTGCCTGCAACCTCCGCCTCCCAGGTTCAAGTGATTCTCCTGCCTCAGCCTCCTGAGTAGCTACGATGACAGGTGCCCACCACCACGGTCTGCTAATTTTTGTATTTTTAGTAGAGACGGGGTTTCACCATGTTGGCTAGGCTGGTCTCGAACTCCTGACCTCAGGTGATCCATCCACCATGGCCTCCCAAAGGGCTGGGATTACAGGCGTGAGCCACCATGCCCGGCCATTATCTTTGGATCTTGGGGACAGCCCCAAGAGAGAAGGAGCAGGGGTCAGCAGAGATTCTCTGCAGCCGTTCAGAATCCAGACACCCTGCTCAGGGCAGAGGCCGCACCACATCTGGAGGCTGCGGGGGGAACTTGCTGTGGCTCCTGGTGGGCAGTTGCATTACTCAGGGTTCTCTTTAGAAACTGAATTGACAGGATATCTTCCCTCTTACATCTTATGCATGTATGAGACAGAAAGAGAGTGAGTGAGTGAGAGAGAAAGAGAGAGAGAGAGAGAGAGAGAGAGAGAGAGAGAGAGAGTTTATTATGGGAATTGGAAAATGTGATGATGGAGGGCAAGAAGTCCCATGATATAGCATCTGCAAGCTAGAATCCAGGGACACTGGTGGTGTAAATTCAGTCGGAGTCCCAAAAGACCTGAGAACCTGGAGTTCTCATGTCCAAAGACAAGAGGGGATGGATGAGCCAGCCCCAGAAGAGAGCTCACGTCCACCCTTTCCTCTGCCTCTTTGTTCTATCCGCACCATCAAAGGGTTGGATGAAACCCACCCCCTTTGGGGAGGCGGATCATCCTTCCTCAGTTTACCTATTCAAATGCGAATCTCTTCTGGAAATACACCGATGGACACATTCAGAAATAATGTTTTATCAGCATATTTTATCTGGGCATCTCTTGGCTCAGTCACATGGAATTCGTGGTTAATTCAGGACACCTAGAATTAACCGTCACAAGGGCTGATGGCGTCTGCCTTGCTTTCAGGTCACTCCCACGGAAGAGGGCGTGAAGAAGTTCATCCAGTTGGTGGCCACCTATCCCCAGGGCTTTAAGTTTTGGATGGGTCCTACCTTTCCCTTCCTCACTTTATGCCACCCTGACACCATCCGGCCTATCACCAGTGCCTCAGGTACCCAAGCAGAGCTTGTGTTGGGGCGGGGGGAGCTGGGAAACATCAAAGGCCTCCTAGCCTCTCCCCTCCCCAGGCTTCTATGTGGCCCCTGCGGAACCCAGTGCCCTCCTCCTGCTTCTCTCTCAGCCATGTTCCTCTTTCCTTCATGTATTCACCAACCCCCATCTCAGCACCTCCTCCCTCCACTGCCATCTGTCTCTGCTTTTGTGTTCTGGGCACCACTGTGGCCCCAAGAAGCCTCAATTTAGGGCCCTATCCTCGAGGAAGCCCCATGCTTGAGGAAATGGATCTGGACAGAGACATCTCAAACTTCGTGGAGTCAGGAATTGGCAAGAAGGAGATGGGTGTGACAACTGGGAGAACAAGATCTTTCCTGGGGGCAGGTTGGAAGGCTTCCTGGAGGAGGGGTTGCTGGAAAAATGAGTAAAAAGATGTTAAAGCAAGGGGAAGGGTGATGCAGTGGACATCATTAGTATCCAGGTCCCCCTGCCAGGCCTGGCATCAACCTTGTCTGTCCCTAATTCTACAGCACTAGGGGGATTTGTGGCTGGCGGAGAATCTGGGCTGCTATTTATGTGATGTTCACCTCTGGTGAGTTTATTCCTTCTACCTAATCCTATCACTCATCCACCCTATTCATGACTCTCCTGCTCCAGGCCCCAGGAATCTCCAGTAAAAGATCCCACTCCAGTCTGGGGCCCTTTCTTTCCCTCTGCTCATCCTATCCTTGAACAGGCCAAGCCAAGCAGGGGCAGGGGCAGCATCCCACAGAAACTATGGCTGTAACCTCAAGATGGTGAGTGACTCTGGGCAGGTCCTCAGCTCTCACTGACTGCTGAAGTCTCTTTGAGTTGCGAGTGATGGAAACTCAAGCCCATGTGGTCTAAGCAAATAAAGAGAATCAATGTACTGTAAGTCTGGGGAGAGTGGTCTTCAGGCATAGTTGGATCCAGGTGTCAATTAATCCACATCACTGGGAATCAGTCTCCTTCTCTTGATTTTACCATTCTCTGTGTCATTTTGCCTTTTCATATGGTGTCAGCGATGAATGTCAGAAGCCCAGTTCCAATCAGAAAGCCCACCTTTCTCTCAAGGGTCCCACAGATAGCGTATGTTTTCTACATTGTATTTTATTGTATCTGGTATATGCTTCCACCTGGGATCACGTAGAGAAGTCATCATATGTGGGGCTCAGCTGTGGCTGAGGACATTTGGGGCATGTCAGAGTCTTTTTGGTTCTTGTCTGAGATGTAGTGTGAGGTTGTCTTTTTATCCTGTTTCACATGTCTTGGCCATGTTTGGTGCTTGTCCAAGGTGTAGGACCCAGGGTCTCTTTGAGAACTGTGTGAGGTATTATTTGAGTCTTAGTAGAGTTAGGTCTTAGGGTAGATTTGAATTACGCCTGAAGGATAGGCTAGGTTACACCTGGGCCATGTTTAGGACATTAATGGCATCATATTTAAAAGTTATCTGAATCCGTCATTGGAGTACACAGAGGTCATGTTACACCATCTCAGGCTCATGGGAGAGCATGTTGTGTGATTTAAGGTTTGTCATACGTGTTTTGGCCATGTCAGGAAATGTTAACACAGGTCAGGGCAATATCCCAGGTCCCAGATCCATGTCAGAAGATAGCAGAGAGTGCTGGGGACATACGGGGTGTCCTAGATCCCTGTAAAGGCATTCTGTAGAGTGTTGAGCTATGCTCAGGTGTTGCAGAACATGTTGAACCATGTAGGAGATATGTCATTGTGTGCTGGAGCATGCTGTGTTATTGCTATGCTGCTGCAGCCTGGTTTGGTCTCTCCTTCCTCCACCATCCTCCCTTCTTCCTCTACCCTTGGCCTTTTTCCTGCTATGCTGGGTGGGAAAAGTGGAAGTGCACACCCCTGGCTGGGAGCATTTCTCCATACTAAAAGTCTTTCTCTTACCCCTCTTCACGGCCCCTGATGGTCCTTAATGATGTCAGCTACTGTGGCACCCAAGGATATGTTTTTCTATGGCTTCCTGAGGCCCTGGCTGGGTGAGTAATTGAGGTGAGTGGGGTTGGGAATGTCATTTAGGGATAAGGGAGGGTGCTACCCTTGACCACTGTTCTTGATTGCCCTGCTAGGGGATGGGCTCCTGCTGAGTGGTGGTGACAAGTGGAGCCGCCACCGTCGCATGCTGACTCCTGCCTTCCATTTCAACATCCTGAAGCCTTATATGAAGATTTTCAACAAGAGTGTGAACATCATGCATGTGAGTCCCTTGAACTATGGGTTCCAGTGGAGCCTCGGGGTGGAAGAACCACAGGCATATCTGGTCTGCAATTTTAGTTGTGCTTTGGGGCCAATGCTCTTCCTCTCCGAGCCTTGGTTTCCCTATCTGTAAAATGGGAATATTAATCTCTACTTAAACGGTGGTAACATGATGTAGTAGATTCATGTCCCCGGCACATAGTAGCTCTCAGAAGGTGTGAGATTCTATGTTTCTCTCACAGAAACCCTTCAAACTCAAGAGAGTAAAGATGAAGATTGCATAGTAGCAATTGCTGAGTACAAACTGCCTCAAAACTCACTGGTTCAGAGCAATAAGGGTTTATGATACCTAACAAATGTGTGAGACAGGTGACTGGTTCTTCTATATGTGGATGGGATCACTCTGGGTACATGTGCAGCCATGGGTCAGGTGAGCAGTTCTGCTGATCCCGGCTCAGTTTATTCACATGTTTGTTTGGGGCTTCACCAACTTCAGGTTGATCTAGGATGGCCTCAGCTGTGACACCTGGACTTTTCTCCTTGTATATCTCTGCCTCCAGTATGCACCCTGCTGTTCACATGGCATGGACTGGGTTCTGAGAGACTACAAGGAGACTGCAATGTCTCTGGACATTCTCTCTGCAATGTTTCAAAATTCGACCAGGTTTAGGTCAGCACAGACTCAAAGGGGCATAAAAGAGGCTCCATTTCTTTTTTTTTCTTTTTTCTTTTTTATTATTATACTTTAAGTTCTAGGGTACATGTGCACAATGTGCAGGTTTGTTACATATGTATACTTGTGCCATGTTGGTGTGCTGCACCCATCAACTCGTCAGCACCCATCAACTCGTCATTTACATCAGGTATAACTCCCAGTGCAATCCCTCCCCGCTCCCCACTCCCCATAATAGGCCCCGGTGTGTGATGTTCCCCTTCCTGAGTCCAAGTGATCTCATTGTTCAGTTCCCACCTATGAGTGAAAACATGCAGTGTTTGGTTTTCTGTTCTTGCAATAGTTTACTGAGAATGATGGTTTCCAGCTGCATCCATGTCCCTACAAAGGACACAAACGCATCCTTTTTTATGGCTGCATAGTATTCCATGGGGTATATGTACCACATTTTCTTAATCCAGTCTGTCACTGATGGACATTTGGGTTGATTCCAAGTCTTTGCTATTGTGAATAGTGCCGCAGTGAACATAAGTGTGCATGTGTCTTTATAGCAGTATGATTTATAATCCTTTGGGTATATACCCAGTAATGGGATGGTTGGGTCATATGGTATTTCTAGTTCTAGATCCTTGAGGAATCGCCATACTGTTTTCCATAATGGTTGAACTAGTTTACAATCCCACCAACAGTGTAAAAGTGTTCCTATTTCTCCACATCCTCTCCAGCACCTGTTATTTCCTGACTTTTTAATGATCGCCATTCTTACTGGTGTGAGATGGTATCTCATTGTGGTTTTGATTTGCATTTCTCTGATGAAGACTCCATTTCTTAATAGAAGTTGCTGGAAAATCATAGTGCAAAGTGTATGAATACAGGGAGAAGTGAAGAATTGGCAGTTGGGATTTTGCGAAGTGCTTAGGATAGTTTTCTTACTTGCAAGCTGATAAGCTAGCTTTGTTCATACTTCAGCGATTCTGCCAGGAGATACGAGAGTCCTGGGTCAGAGACCAATGACTATTTATTACTCATGGCATAAATAAACATAGTCCAAACCACCCAAATCCCACGGGGTGCCACAGAGAGGTTTCAATAGTTGCCTGCTCAGTGCATTGCATGGGAGGAAACGAGCACTAGACTTAGGGAATCTGCTTTTTTTTTTTTTTTGAGATGGACTCTCTTGCCCAGGCTGGAGTGCAGTGGCATGACCTCTGCTTACTGCAAGCTCTGCCTCCCCGGTTCACACCGTTCCCCTGCCTCAACCTCCTGAGTAGTTGGAACTCCAGACACCTGCCACCGTGTCCAGCTAACTTTTTGTGTTTTTAGTACAGACGGGGTTTCACCATGTTAGTCAGGATGGTCTCGATCTCCTGACCTCGTGATCCACCCACCTCATCCTCCTAAAGTGCTGGAATTTCAGGCGTGAACCACCATGCCTGGCCGGGAATCTGCTTTTTTAGCAAGCAGAAGCAAGCCTGATATTGGTCCAGGAGCAGTCATTGCCTTATCTCTCAATGTTGTTCTCTGCAAACACAAGCCTGAGAAATGGCCCAAGCAAGAACAACAGGAGATACACACACACACACACACACACACACACACACACACACACACACACATATATATACACACACACATTTGCTTTAAGTTCTGGGATACATGTGCAGAATGTGCAGGTTTGTTACATAGGTATATATGTGCCATAGGTATACATGCACCCACCAAACCGTAATCCAGGTTTTAAGCCCCACATGCACTAGGTATTTGTCTTTATGCTCTGCCTCCCTTTGTCCCCAACCCCCTGACAGACCCCAGTGTGTAATATTCCCCTACCACAACAGGGATATTTTTGAAATGAATTTATAGCAATGGAGATGAGTAAAACCAACATTTACCGAGCACTCACCATATCCTAGAAACAGTATCATTTGCCAACTCCATGATATAAATTTTGTAATTTAATTTTAATAACCCTGTGAGGTTTTGGTTGGTTTTGCCCTATTGCGGACTATGAAACTGAGGTCCAGAGAGATTAGGGAGCTTGCCAAAGTTCAACCAGATAGTAAGTGAGCTAGGAGTGCTGAGGTAGTGATTCTATCCTGGTTTATCTGGCCCCAAAGCATGTTGTCCTAACTCTTACCGAAGATTTCATAGATGGGACCTACAGGAGTGCAGGAGGTTGATCAAGAGCACACAGACCATAGGAGGCTGAGCTGAGACTTGAACCCAGGTCTCTCGACTTCCAACCATGAGTCTTTATCTCCTAGTAGTAATAGTTTCTGGTCCTATCCAAGGCTGGTCCTTCCTAGGGATGGGTGCCTGGGGCAGAGGACCAGAAGGATGATTGCAGGGGCTCCATCTTGGTGTTTGGGTCTGGGAAGGTGCTCACAGGAGGCAGTTCCCAGCTTCAACTCTGTTTTTTCTCTGGCTAGGACAAGTGGCAGTGCCTGGCCTCAGAGGGCAGCGCCAGACTGGATATGTTTGAGCACCTCAGCCTCATGACCTTGGACAGTCTGCAGAAATGCGTCTTCAGCTTTGAAAGCAATTGTCAGGAGTGAGTCCTTTCCTATGGCCTGAGAACTTGGGCCATGAACCCAAGGGAGTAGGTTGGAAAAGGATGACTGACTGGGGTAACCAGAAGTGTCTTTCTGAAGGCACTTTCTGTGTATCATAGCTGGGCTTTGAAGGATGGGGAAGGGAAGAGAGAAAGTACGGTCCTTTCAAGTAGGTAGAAATATTTGAGTATAGGCAAGAAGACTAGGATGAGGCAAGCGTGTGCAGCAGACAGTAGAGATGAGTTTGTGGAAGTAGACAAGGGCTAGATACCAGGACACTGAAAATCAGGAAAAATGGCATGAACTTTATCAGGAGGTTCCCAGGAATCTTTTCAAGGGGGTTGGACCGATGACAGGTGCAGTCACAGATGAGCTTTGTGGAGGTCTGCCTGTCATGTAGACACGACATGGAGCTGACATTGGATGCAAGTCGGTGATGGTGGGGGCTGGGCCAGAAAGAGCTGGAAGACAGTGAGGTCTTGTGAGTTTTGTGAACAGTTTTTGGAAGGAAAAGAGTCTAGGCTGGATACTGGGTGGCAGAGACAGGAGAGAAGCATAGTGTCCAAGCTATGCTCTGGGTACCTAGGTGCATGGAGGCAGCTCTCAGAGATGGGATGCCTGGAGAGAAGGGAGTTTGGAGAGTCAAGTCTCCTGGCTGTTTCTGGATACTCAAATTCCTGATGGGCAGTAACTTCTAGCAGCTGGTGAGAGGTGCTCCTGGGACTTTGCATATGTTAAGTTGTTACCTCCCTCATGCAGGAAGCCCAGTGAATATATTGCCGCCATCTTGGAGCTCAGTGCACTTATAGAAAAAAGAAACCAGCATATTCTCTTGTACCCGGACTTCCTGTATCATCTCACTCCTGATGGGTGGCGCTTCCGCAGGGCCTGCCACCTGGTGCATGACTTCACAGATGCCGTCATCCAGAAGCGGCGCCGAACCCTCCCCACTCAGGGTATTGATGATTTCCTCAAGAACAAGGCAAAGTCCAAGACTTTGGACTTCATTGATGTGCTTCTGCTGAGCAAGGTGGGCTTCTCTGGGATGTGAATTCAAGTCACAGAGTGGAGATTTATGCCAATGTCAAATGAAAGAACTTAGACTTGATCCAGAGGGCAGTGGGAGCCATGGAACATGCTTGAAAAAGACAGGTCAGAGATAGGTTTGAGAGATGACTCTGTGGAATTCAGCTGGCAGGGGACTGCTAAGTTTGAAACAGTGAGGAGCCCGAGATTTTACTTACATGTTAGTAAGTCAGTCTGACACATTTTAATGCATATCTATATGTCTATGTCTATATCTATGATGACAGATGCACCAAACCCCTGGATCACAGCAGCCTGTTTTAATCATTCACAGCCAATAGCAGCCACCAGAGTAGGATTGTAGAGCTGGCTCTCCATTCCCATATTCCTCCTAGGGTAGCACAATGTTTTTACCTGTAAATACACCAGAATGCACTGCAGAGAGGGGGCCCCACATTATACATTATACATCTTGGAACTTATATAGGATATCTAGCACATCTGCCCCTTCTTCCTTCCAGGGTGAGTGTGAGAATGGCAGAGAGAGAGAGAGAGAGAGAGAGAGAGAGAGAGAGAGAGAGAAGAGAAGAGAGGGTGTTTTCTTTGTTCTGGAATAAAAACTACTACTTTCCAGTGAGATTGCCATCCCTGTAGGTTTATAGGTTTATAACCCAGATGACTTCTGGAAAGATAGGAAGGATTCTCTGAGTTTATCACTCTAGAATGTGAGCAAATATCTATACAGCAATACTTAATTCCTTTCTTTTCTTTCTTTCTTTCTCTTTTTTTTTTTTGAGATGGAGTCTGGCTCTGTCACCCAGGCTGGAGTGCAGTGGCCGGATCTCAGCTCACTGCAAGCTCCGCCTCCCGGGTTTACGCCATTCTCCTGCCTCAGCCTCCGGAGCAGCTGGGACTACAGGCGCCCGCCACCTCGCCCGGCTAGTTTTTTGTACTTTTTAGTAGAGACGGGGTTTCACCGTGTTAGCCAGGATGGTCTCGATCTCCTGACCTCGTGATCCGCCCGTCTCGGCCTCCCAAAGTGCTGGGATTACAGGCTTGAGCCACCGCGCCCGGCCCTTCCTTCCTTCCTTCCTTCCTTCCTTCCTTCCTTCCTTCCTTCCTTCCTTCCTTTGCTCCTTCCTTTCTACCTTCCTTCCCTCCCCTCTTTCTTTCTTTCTTTCTTTCTTTCTTTCTTTCTTTCTTTCTTTCTTTCTTTCTTTCTTTCTTTCTTTCTTTCTTCTTTTTGTCTTTCTTCCTTTCTTTTCTTTTTTGAGATGGCGTTTTGCTCTTGTTGCCCAGCTGGAGTGCAAGGTGCGATCTCTGCTCTCACAACCTCTGCCTCCTGGGTTCAAGCGATTCTCCTGCCTCAGCCTCCCAAGTAGCAGGATTACAGGCCATGCACCATCCGCCAGCTTTGTTTTTTTTTAAATGGTAGAGACAGGGTTTCCATGTTGGTCAAGCTGTTTTTTTTTTTTTTTTTTTTTTTTTTTTTTTTTTTTTTTTAAATGGTAGAGACAGGGTTTCTCCATGTTGGTCAGGCTGGTCACGAACTACTGACCTCAGGTGATCCACCTACCTTGGCCTTCCAAAGTGTTGGGATTACAGGTGTGAGCCACTGCATCTGGACAGTACTTAATTTCTAACCTCCAAGCCAAATTGCCATTGAAATATGCTGTAACCCAGGTTGCCAGTAATACTTCACTCCAAAAGTCCTCATTATTCAGAGACAAGATAATATTCATAGGTCATTGACTCTTCCCAGCAGGGCCAAATAGGAGGCAAAGAAGGCAGCGGGAAAGCCCGTGATTGGTGGGCTCTGATGGTGGTGACCAAGAGACATCTAGGGGTGCATGATGGGCTTGGGTTTCTGGAAGGAGGATGGATCTTCAGAAATTGTCTAAGGTTTGACTCAAGAGCCCCCAGAGCTGGCGTGATTTGGGGCAGGGGTATTGTCTTGCCTTCTTTCCAGGATGAAGATGGGAAGGAGTTGTCTGATGAGGACATAAGAGCAGAAGCTGACACCTTCATGTTTGAGGGTGAGGGTCTCAGTGTGGGACTACAGTGGGGACAGGGGCCTCTCCATCCCAGGGACGTGGTGGGTGGACCCTGGATCACTCCATTCTGCCCATCCTCCCGCTCCCTACATTCTCCCAAGAGCCTCAGTGTATGGGTGCTGTCCACCCTCTGGTGCTGAAGCAGCCCAGAAATCCGGTTTTGCTTGGCTGCCCCTCAGGCCATGACACCACAGCCAGTGGTCTCTCCTGGGTCCTATACCACCTCGCACAGCACCCAGAATACCAGGAACGCTGCCGGCAAGAAGCGCGAGAGCTTCTGAAGGACCGTGAACCTGTTGAGATTGAATGGTGAGTGCAGGTGCTGGCCTATTCTTGATCTTTTCTCATTGGTTCTGCTCCTCAGGTGGGTGCGGAGAGGAAGTTGCTTTTTGTCAATTCTTCCATTATCTCTTAGTGGGAATCAGCGCAAATCTCAGAGGCAGGGCTTAATACCCAGCCCGGCCAGCAGGGGATGGTTTGCAGGCTTTTGGGACCCGGGCTGCTGGGAGAATTGGTGACAGTATGTAAAGGCAGATGATGCCACTTAGCATGTGTTCAGCAGATGAATTTCTCTGCCACTTCCTCTTTTCACTGAATTATCATATTTTTTTCAAACATCTTCACTTTCTGAATGTTTGCTCTTCCATACCCTATTTCAATCCTGTTGTGCAGTCCAGGGATTTCTAAGGGAGACCTGAGGGTAGAAGTAATTCATTCCTGTCCAGAACACCTGCATCGTTCATCCATCCAGTCTTCATTCAGCAAACAGTCCCACACTGCATTCCCATTCCCAGTTTTGTTTCTAGCACCTTTCAGTACTCTGGAGACCTTGAAAGGATCCAGCCCTGTGATCTGTTTTCCAGGTGCTCCCAGCCTGGTGGGGGAACAGTCCCAGGACAGGAAACTCCCAGCACAGATGGGCAGGGATGAGGTTGAGAGCAAGAGAAGCATGACTGGCGGTACAGAAAGTGTCTCAACCAGGCACAGTGGCTGAACCTGTAATCCCAGCCACTCAGGAGGCTGAGGTGGGAGGATCACTTGAGGTCAGTACTTCAAGATGAGCCTGGACCATATAGTGAGAATCTTTCTCTAAAAAATATGAAGACATGAAAATAAAAGTGAAGTGTCTTGGTTGAGACCCTTAATAATGATCAGTCGATATTTGGATGCAGCAGTGCCCTAGGTAAAGAAGACAGCCTGGGCCAAGGTCGAGGGAGGAGAGAGGGAGGGAGGCAATAGTGCTCTAGGTCAAGAAGACAGCCTGGGCCAAGGTCGAGGGAGGAGAGAGGGAGGGAAGCAGTAGTGCCCTAGGTCAAGAAGAGAGCCTGGTCAAAGGTCGAGGGAAGAGAGGGGGAGGGAAGGAGAGCAGGAGAGAGAGAAAGAGAGAAAGAGAGAGAGAGAGAGAGAGAGAGAGAGAGAGACCGAGAGAGAGACCAAGAGAAAGAGAGAGAGAGAAGGGAAAGAAGAGAAAGAAAAGAGGGAAAAAGAGAAGTGGCTTGTGTGCAGGGGGACGGAGAAGGTCATAAAGAGAGAATGGAGACAGAAGGAAAGCGAGAGAGAAAGAAAGAGAGAGGGAAGACAGAAAGAAAAAGATGGATAGAGAGGGAGAAACTGAGTCATGATGAGATGATGAACCTGGAGATGGGAGCAGAGCCTGGGTGTGGAATACATGGGAAAAATGTGAAGAACTTCAATTTTAACTCAAGGTCCATGGGAAGGGACAGGTAGTAGAACAATCTTTTTAGGGCTAGTGTAGAGGGCATACTGGAGAGGACCAGTTGTAGAATGAAGTCCCAGGGAGGACATTCTGAGGTCTGAGCCAGGCGAGGAGCTGGGGATGGAGAGGAGACATTGAGCAGGACAAGTCTTTTGAAGGTAGCGTCCTCACCTCCAAGCCTTTACTCAGCACAGCAGTCCAAAACCAAGATTTCAAACAAAATTACACATTGTTAAAAAAAGGTGTCCAAAAATTTTGATGAAAAATGAACTACCTTCTTAAGCCTCACCCTGGCAGTTTCCATCATCAATGGTTTTCTGTGTGTCCTTCTGGAAAATGGCTATTCTGATGCCCACTGTATATGATCACACACATTCTCTTTTTCTCTATGTGTAGGAGTACATAAAATAGACACAGGTCTGCACACTATGTATCTTTAAGATCTTCTGTTTTTCTCAAAATATGAGTTTTGGAAAATGAGTTTGTTTCTCATTTGTCTTTATTTTTAATTGACAAATTTTGAATATATATATTTATGGGGCACATTGTGATGTTATGATGTACACAATGCAGAATGATTAAATCAACCTAATGGTCATATCCATTACCTCATACACTTATTATTTTAGCAGTGAGAACATTTGAAATTTTCTCTTTTGGCCATTTTGAAAAGCATATTGTATTATTATTAACTGTAGTCATCATGCATATAATAGATCTGAAAACTTATTCGTCCTGTCTAATGGAAACTTGTACCCTTTGACCAACATCTTCCTGTTCTTTCTTCCTCTCTCCTCTGGCAACCACCATTTTCTTCTCTGTTTCTATGATTTCTATGTTACCTATTTTAGCTCTCACATATAATTGAGATCATTTACTATTTGTCTTCTTGTGCCTGACTTATTTCACTTAGCATAATGTCCTCCAGAATCATCCATGTTGTCACCAACGAAAGGATTCTTTTCTTTTTAAAGGCTGAATACCATTCTATTTTGCATTTATACATGGAAAATGAACGTTGACTTACAAAAACAATGATGAGAACAGATTCTTCTTAGACTCAATGAGACATTACGGATAAGACAGGGTTTATCCTTGACGTTCATGCCACCCCACCTAATATCCTCCCTTTCCCTAAAGGGGTCTCTTGAGACATCAATTTGTCATCTAACTGTCTGCTTATCTATCTATCTATCTATCTATCTATCTATCTATCTATCTATACATCTGTCCATATGTCCATCCATCCATCCATCCATCCATCCATCCATCCATCCATCCATCCATCCATTCATCCATCCATTTATCCTATCTATTCATCCTTCCTGTCTATCTATCCATCCATCCATTGATCTATCTCTATCATCTATTTCCATATATATGCTATGTATTTTATTGATATAAATAGGAGTCAATTAAATATATACATATTGATATATTTTAATATATATTAAATTTATTAATATATTTATTTAATTTAATAATTAGGAGTCAATAAAATGTATATATTTCTATATACATAGAAATATATATTTCCATATATATACACTATGAATTTTGCCCTTTACTATTTACATATATGCATTTTGTGGCTTGTTTTTGCCTCTCAACAGTGTGTCTTACAGCTGTTTTTTTTAGTATGGCATAACATTCCATATTTTATTTGTTTCACATCTTTGTTGAAAGTGCTTGTGTGGGCCGGGCGCGGTGGCTCAAGCCTGTAATCCCAGCACTTTGGGAGGCCGAGACGGGTGGATCGCGAGGTCAGGAGATCGAGACCATCCTGGCTAACACGGTGAAACCCCGTCTCTACTGAAAAATACGAAAAACTAGCCGGGCGAGGTGGCGGGCACCTGTAGTCCCAGCTACTCGGGAGAATGGCGTGAACCTGGGAGGCGGAGCTTGCAGTGAGCTGAGATCCGGCCACTGCACTCCAGCCTGGGCGACAGAGCGAGACTCCGTCTCAAAAAAAAAAAAAAAAAAAAAAAAAGAAAGTGCTTGTGTGACTCTTTCCAATTATTGTAGATATGGCCAATTTGCTTTCCAGAATCTCTGTACTGGTTTACCTTCCAGCTTGCATTGTGTGACACAGCTAGTGACCTATTTCCTCCTTTTTTGTAGTTGCATTGTATTCTATGGTATTAGTGTTCTGCTGTGTGGATGTTTATCTAAACATCTTCCCACCAATGTATATTTAGCTTGTTTCAGACTTTTGCTAAATTAAACCTGTTACAGTTAGCATGTGTGTACAGTGACCATTGCTTATTTGTGTGAATATCTCTGCAGGACAAATTCCCAAAAGTGCAATTGCAGAATCAAAGACCATTTCATTCTACAATTTTAATAATGATAAAAAATCCATTCCTACTATCTGAGTATGATGGCACCAGCTTTCCCATAACTTCACCAAGAGTATTACATTATTATTAATTTTTTTTCAATTTTTAAGTTTCTGGCTACACAGGTTGGTTGCATAGGTAAATGTGTGCCATGGTGATTTGCTGCACCTATCAACCCATCACCTTGGTATTAAGCCCAGCATCCTTTAGCTTTTCTTCCTGATGCTCTCCCTTCCCCAACCCCTCCCCCTGACAGGCCCCAGTGTGTGGTGTTTTCCACCATCTGGCCATGCATTTTCCTTGTTCAGCTCCCACTTATAAGTGAGGACATGTGGTGTTTGGTTTTCTGTTCCTACATTAGTTTGCTGAGAATAATGGCTTCCAGCTCCATCCATGTTCCTGCAAAGGACGTGATCTCGTTCATTTTTACAGTTGCCTAGTATTCCATGGTGTATATGAACTGCATTTTCTTTATCTCAATGATCATTGATGGGCATTTGGGTTGATTCATGTCTTCACTATTCTGAATAGTGCTGCAGTGAACATATGCATGCATGTATCTTTATAACAGAATGATTTATATTTCTTTGGATATATACCCAGTAATGGGATTTCTGGGTCAAATGGTATTTCTGCCCCTAGATCTTTGAGGACTCACCACACTAAATTTTTGTCAGTCTGCCTATTTCTTCTTTTAGTGAACATTTCCTTAAATAAGAGTGGGATAGGACATCTTTTGCCATTTTTTTTTCTTTTTATGGAAGAAATCATCTTACATTGTTTGCTGTTTTCTTTTGGGTTATTTTCTCGTATTTACTTATGAGAATATGTATTAATCCTTTTTTTCTGTCATTTTTTGCCTTTTGACTTCTTGGGGACAGTTTTGGGTAGTTTATATGAAGCCAATTTTGTCCACATTTTCTTTTGTAACTGTACTATCCAGCCATTTCCCAGGGTTTTGTGGGGCTTCCTTTACCAGATGTGAAGTTTCACTGATTCACATATCTGTCTCTGAGCTCCCTATTCTGTTCTTTGGTCTGTTTTCCTGTTCTTGCAGCTTTGCCATGATACATTTATTACTGTACCTCAGTAATAGGTCTTAATATCTGGTAGAATGACTTTCTCTTCTGTTTTTATTTCAATAATTTGGGGGGGGTGTACAGGTGGTTTTTGGTTACATGGATGAGTTCTTTAGTGGTGAGCTCTGAGATTCTAGTGCACCTGTCTCCTAAGCAGTGTACAGTGTACCCAATATGGAACCTTTTATCCCTTGCCTCCCTCCCAACCTCCCTCCCTGAGTCCCCAAAGTCCATCATGTCATTCTGTATCTTTTTGCATCCTCATAGCATAGCTTCTATTTGTAAGTGAGACTGTATGATATTTGTTTTTTCATTCCTGAGTTATTTCACTTAGAATAATGGTCTCCAGTTCCATTCAAGTTGTTGCAAAAGACATGGTTACATTCCTTTTTATGGTTGAGTGATGGTGTATATATGCCACATTTTCTTCATCCACTCGTTTGTCAGTGGGCACTTAAATTGGCTCCATATCCTTGCAATTGTGAATGGTGCTACTATAAGCATACACGCATATGCGTCTTTTTCATATAATGCCTTCTTTTCCTTTGGGTAGATACCTAGTAGTGAGAGTGTTGGATGGAATGGTAGATCTACATTTAGTTCTCTAAGGAATCTCCTTACTGCTTTCCACAGAGGTCGTACTAATTTACATTTGCACCAGCAATGTAAAAGTGTTCCCTTTTCACCACATCCACACCAACATCTATTGTTTTTTGACTTTTTAATTATGGTTATTCTTGCAGAAGTAGGGGATATCTCATTGTGGTATTAATTTGTATTTCCCTGATGATTAGTGATGAGCATTTTTAAATATGTTTGTTCACTGTACATTTTCTTTTGAGAAATGCCTATTCATGTCTTTGCCTACTTTTTGATGGGGTTATTTGGTTTTTTGCTTGCTGATTTGTTTGAGTTCCTTGTAGATTGTTGATACTAGTCCCTTGTCAGATGCATAATTTGCAAATATTTTCTTCCACTATGTGGGCTGTCTGTTTACTTTGCTGATTGTTTCTTTTGTTGTGCAGAAGCTTTTTAGTTTAATTAGGACTGATTTCTTTATTTTTGTTTTAGTGGCATTTGCTTTTGAGGTCTTAGTCACGCATTCTTTGCCTAAGCCAACTTTCTCTTCTCTAATATTTTATTTTCAGATTGACTTAGCTGTTCATGATTTTTTCTTCCCAAAAAAGTTTAGAGTAAGTTCATCAAGTTCCTAAAAATTAGATTATCATTTGCACTGAATATATTCTCTCGTTTGACTTGATATATCATATCAAGTAACTTCAGGTAACATCATAATATTGACACATGATTTGTCATAGTAAAATGGTTATTAATGTATTCAAATAATATTTAAGCTTTTAATAGATATTAAAATACTTGCTTAGATATCATATGCAAGTTTTGCTAGATCAATCTTTACATATTTTGTTGCTATCGTGAAGTGTAACTTTTATTCAGATTGAGGGAAATGTATAAATTCATTTGAAATACAGAGACTTTATGTCTCTTGTTAAATTTTATTCAGATATTTTATATTATTATTAATAGCTTATCTTTTATATTTTTCCAGCTACTTGTTATTTCTACATGGGAAAACTAATAATTTGTACATTTAAATTTAGTTCCCAATGAACATAGTACATGATAAATATGATATTTTGTATCAGGAGAAAAAAATATAGATCATTAGGTAAAAGCTCTTAGGACAACTGGGAAGTTTCCTGAAAAAAATCAACTCAATCTGGTTGCCATGTCTTATAATAAGACAATGTTCAGATTACTCAAGTATATAGTTTTTTTAAAGGCTGTTAAAAGCTCTAGAAGAAACCATTGGAAAAGTATTTTATAGCTTCAGAGTAGAGATAACCCTATTTTGATACAAGTCCCAGGAGTTAGACAAGAAAACTGACATACTGTAAAATGAGAAAAGATATGGAATATGTGTATAGTATATGATGTACCCATATTTTTAGGATGCCAAAAATTAGCTCTAGAAAGATACATAAAAATAATAATAACTTAGGCAACCTGTGAGGAGAAGAAGCAGGTGACATTGGGCCATAGGGGTAGATGATGATTTATAGTTTTCAAATTTTGAACCACTTAAGTGTACAATGTATTAAAATTTTAAACAGCCACAGAAAAAGAAGAAAGATTGAGCAAAGAATTCAGCTCTCTTACTGGATCTTAAATGTTTGTAAATGTTTTCCAGTGAAGTGTTCTGTTTTTCTAAGTATAAAATCACCATCTGCCAAAATGATACATTTACTGCCACATTTCAAATTGCATTCCTCTCTTTTTTTTTCCCCTTGTCTAATTGCATTTGCTACTATCTCTAGTACAATGATGAATAAGAGCAAAACACTGGATCTGGGTATTTTGTTTCTTATTCACTTGCATTTTGTGTTTGCTTTCTTGCCTTAAAGGATATTTACTTTTATGCAAATATGTTAACTTTTTTTTTTTTTTGAGATGGAGTCTCGCTCTGTTGCCCAGGCTGGAGTGCAGTGGCTGGATCTCAGCTCACTGCAAGCTCCGCCTCCCGGGTTCACACCATTCTCCTGCCTCAGCCTCCCGAGTAGCTGGAACTACAGGCGCCGGCCACCACGCCCGGCTAATTTTTGGTATTTTTAGTAGAGACGGGATTTCACCATGTTAGCCAGGATGGTCTTGATCTCCTGACCTCATGATTCACCCACCTCGGCCTCCCAAAGTGCTGGGATCACAGGCATGAGCCACCGCGCCCAGCCCAAACTTTTTTTTTTATAGCTGGCTTCAGGGTGTTGTGTTTTCCTCAGAATAATCTTTAAGAAATCGGCACCATTTTTTTCCGGTACTTTTCTAATTCTCTGCTTTTCTAATTTTGCTCTGCTTTTTAAATTATCCAGTATTTCATTCGTGTGGAATTTATTTTGTGATAGGGATAAAAAGTCTCGCTTGGAAACAGAGAAGCTGGAGAATTGTGTCTTTGCTCACTTGATAAGGATTGGGGCTGGGGTTTTTTCTTAGGGATGACTTGGCCCAGCTGCCCTTCCTGACCATGTGCATTAAGGAGAGCCTGCGGCTGCATCCCCCAGTTCCTGCCGTCTCCCGATGCTGCACCCAAGACATTGTGCTTCCGGATGGCCGGATCATCCCCAAAGGTGCTCACAGCCTCATGGAGAGGAGCCTCCTGGGTAGGAAGAGAGGCCTTCAGGCAGGGGGGCCTTGTCCTGACTGCCCTCTTCTCTCACACAGGCATTACCTGCATCATCAGTATTTTTGGGATCCATCACAACCCAACTGTGTGGCCAGACCCTGAGGTACTGCCTCCCTCACCCCACCCTTTTAGGGATCCGTTCCAAGTTTCCTAGAGGAGGTGACAGGGTTTTGACCAGGCAAATCCAACGTGACTTCCTCTCAGTGGAGACATATCTGCCAAAATGTCTCTCCAAGGCTGGTGGTCTTGGAGAAAACTGGGAGATCCCACCCAGCTGGGAGATCCCAACCAGCAAGCCTTCTTGGTCTCATCTGCAGGTCTATGACCCCTTCCGCTTCTACCAAGAGAACATCAAGGAGAGGTCACCTCTGGCTTTTATTCCCTTCTCGGCAGGGCCCAGGTAAGGATGGCCTGAGTCTGAGGCAGAGATGGCCTGATGAGGTGGAGATGGGTGCAGGGGTCACAAAAGGGGGAAGTTACAGATGGTCCCAGTTCCAGCTCTCCTTCCCTCCCTTCCTCAGGAGTTAATGGGCAACAGTTCACAGAATGGGGTTGGGTAGGTCCTAGAGGGGTCTGCAGTGTGCTCAGAGTCCCTTCCTTCATCTGCTGATCCGAAGTGGAGGTAGGAACCTGGGCCAGGTTTGGGGGATATGCAAGCACACATGGGAGTCCTGTGGACACTTAGCCCCTCTTTCTGCCCCTCAAGCCGATCTGGGTGCGATTCGGGGTCCCAGGCCAGGTTCTAAGCATGATGGGGCCGGGATGGGGGTCATGGGCACAGTCAGATTCCCTCACTTTTGCCCCCAGAAACTGCATTGGGCAGGCGTTCGCCATGGCTGAGATGAAGGTGGTCCTGGCACTCACGCTGCTGCGCTTCCGCATCCTGCCGACCCATCTTGAGCCCTGCAGGAAGCCGGAGCTGGTATTGCGTACAGAGGGTGGACTTTGGCTGCGGGTGGAGCCCCTGGGTGTGAACTCACAGTGACTGTCCTACCCACCCACCCACCTTTGTAGATTCCCAGGAATAAAACTATGCTGACACTTCTGCTTTAGCCTCATTGATAATCAGCAAGGGGCTCTTGGGGACTGGCGGGATCTAAGAAAGAGGAGTGAGTGGGTGGAGGCAGGGTGATGTCTCTGAACTCAAAACCCCGACTGCCTCTCTGACTGAGCACAGGGCACCTAGGCCCTTAGTGGGTTTTCCCAGAGCCCAAGTAAAAACTTTATCCTGTGGGCAGTAGGGAGCCCTGGGAGGTGTTTGAGCAGGAGAGGGAAGAGGATTAAGAATGGATTTAAGGAGCAAGACTGAGACTCTGATTCAGCGAGAAGCAACCATAGAGGCAGATCACTTCATCTGTCCTGGGAATGTCCCCTCAAGACTGGAGTCCCCAGCTCAGAACAAAGGGAAAGGGGTGCAGCTTCCACTCTGGCAGGCTCTCAGAACTTTTTAGTTCCTTTTCCCACCAACATCCCACCTCTGTTTCTCCCTCTCCCAGTTGGTTCCCTCTGTGACTCTCTTCCCAAACCTTCAGAGGCATAGGATCCGGAGCCAGGCTGCTTGGGCTCAAGTCCTGGCTCTGCTGTGTGACTTGAACAAGTTAATTCCTCTCTGTGCCTCGGTTCCCTCAACCATGTAATGGAGACAACAGCATTGCCTATATCAGGGTTTTCCTGAGCTCTCAATAGAAGGGACTCAGAACTGTGCCTGGCACACAATGAATGCTAAATATATGGAGCCATTATTATTTCCGCTCTCAGAAAGTCTGGCTGTTAAAGAATGTTGTCTTTCAAGATCGTTATTTCTACCATGACTTTAAAGGCTGTATTTTGGAACTCAAAGGCAAAAATTCTAATATCTGTGCTCTTTGAACAATCTCTTCTCCCTAGAGGGCTATGCATATAAGAGGTATATATATATTTTTTCCTGAGGGTGGTGAAGGCACCTGACTGTATGAGGTGGTAGGAGAATGAGAGAAACCTCAGCCAGTGTCTCAAAATAAAATCCTGCTACAAATATTGATCTCTTTTCATAGCCTAAGGGATATGGCATCACTAACTCCTGTTGACTTCTCTAACCTCTTCTCTAGCTGATCTCCTTCCCTTGCTACAGTCAGTTACTCTGGCCTTGATTCTGATCTCTAAATACATTATATTTTTTAATCTGGGGCCATCGTATTGCCTTTACACCTTTATCAAAGATAAGTTGCCTATATTTATGTGGATCTATTTTTGGGGCTTTTAATATTCTGTTCCATTGACCTATTTGTCTTTTCTTTGACCAATACCACAACACCTGGGTTAATGTAGCTTCATAGTAAATCTTGAAGTTGGATATTGTCAGTCCTCGAACTATGTTCTGCTCCTTCAATATTGTGTTGGTTATTCTGAGTCTCTTGTCTCTCCATATAAATTTTAGAATTAGATTGCTGATATCCATAAAAAAAAACTTCCTGGAGGGCCCCAGAGAGCGCGGAGCGCCGCTTCTGTCTACTGGGCAACGCCGGGGCCTGCGGCTGAGGCGGCAGAGGCGGCAGAGGGGCGGGGACCGGGAGCCGCGCTCCACCGAGAGTTGGGCAGAGGAGCGCCCGCGCCCCCGAGCGTCATGGGCCCTGTCCCCGGGCCTTAGCGGGCACCAGACGCGGGAACCCCCGGGCCTCCTCGCGCCCAAGCCTGAGTGATCCCCGGTTCTCCGGCGCCCCTTCCCTTGCCCTATTCTTTTTCCTGCTCTCGCTGCCCCTACCGCTTCTGTTCTCCCTTATGGCAGCAGAGCCACCATCCCCCATCCGCGTCGAGGCGCCGAGCACCCCAGAAATGCGGACCCCACCGGCGATCGAGGCCACCCATGAGGGTACCCCGCAGCTGGCGGGCGGCAGACTCTGCTTCCTCAACGGCTGCGTGGCCCTCTCGGATCAGGTGGCCTGGCACATGTACGGGAAGGGCAAAGTGGGTATACTGCAACATCCAGATGGCACAGTTTTGAAACAGTTACAACCACCTCCAAGAGGCCAAGAGAGCTGGAATTCTATGATATTGTTTGTTCCGCTAACTGTACCGATGGTGTTCTTCTAGAGCTACGAAAATCTTTGCCAAAATATTATGGCATCTGGCCACCTCCCACTGCACCAAACGATTTATACCTAAAAATGGAAGACGTGACCCGTAAATTTAATAAGCCCTGTACAATGGATGTAAAGATAGGGCCAAAAAGCTATGATCCTTTTGCTTTATCTAAGAAGATTCAGCAACAGGTCAGTAAGTACCTGTTACTTATTAATGGAAAATAGTGGAAGAGATAGGGTTCTTGGTGCTCGGCATGAGGGTTTATCCTGTTCATTCTGATAGCTATGAGACACAAACCAACACTATGGAAGAAGCTTAACAAAAGAAACTATAAAGGAGTCTCCAGATTTTTCCATAATGGGTACTGCTTAAGAAAAGATGCTGTTGCTGCCAGTATTCAGAAGACTGAGAAAACTCCGCAGTGGTTTGAAAACCAGAAGCAGCTTAACTTTTACACAAGTTCATTACTTTGTTTGTGAAGGTTCGTCTCAGGCAACCACCACAAAACTGAACGACAGAAATGTGGCAGAAAAGTTTTTGTCCAAAGGACGACTGTCAGACACAGAAGTACTAGAGTACTCCAGTAACTTTCATGTGCTCAGTTCCACAGCGAATGGAAAAATAGAGGCTTCAGTAGGCAAAAGCTTGTTCGAGATGTATGCTCGTCACAGGAAAATGTATACGAAAAAGCATCCCAGTCAGACTTTATTGAAAGTTGAAAATCTGGAGCAAGACAATGGGTGGAAAAGCAAGTCACAAGAACATTGAAATGGAAATGTACTTTCCTCACTGGAAAAAGTTTTCTGCCACCTTCCCACTGGTTGCCAAGAGATTGCTGAAATGTGCATGATAGATTTTGCTCACATATGTTCCCTAGCAACACAGTAGATGAGGGATATACTTATGGACTAAAGCATTTAATTTCTGTACTTCGAAGTATTTTATACAATTGAATCGTCTGTTGCAGTCTTTTTTTTTTTTTTTTTTAGACGGAGGCTCGCTCTGTCGCCCAGGCTGGAGTGCAGTGGCACAATCTGGGCTCACTGCAAGCTCCGCCTCCCGGGTTCAGGCCATTCTCCTGCCTCAGCCTCCCGAGTAGCTGGGACTACAGGCGCCCGCCACCAGCCTGGCTAATTTTTTTGTATTTTTAGTAGAGACGGGGTTTCACCGTGTTACCCAGGATGGTCTGGATCTCCTAACTTTGTGAGTCGCCCGCCTCGGCCTCCCAAAGTGCTGGGATTACAGGCGTGAACCACCGCGCCCGGCCTCTTGCTGTCTTTTTAAAGGGGTGGGCCAATCATAATGAAGAGAAGCGGTCAATATCTCTGTGCCTTTAATGCTATGTAAAAAAAAAAAAAATTGTATTTTATTTATCTTTACACTTTTGGAAGAAAGGTTAACTTTTTAATAATCTTAGGAAAACTATATGTTCATTAGAAAACTATGAAGAATACAGAAACGTAGGAATGTTAAGGAGGGAATGTGGTGGTACATGGCTTAAACATCTTTTTTGGCTCAAGCAAAATGCAAACCATTATTCAGTCATTAAGAGTTTAGTTAGCTTTCTGTAGCCAGTTCATGAAATCTCTGTCCACCCAACCTTGACAATGAGCCATATCTAAAATATTACATTATTAGAACACCTACCAAAATCTCGAAAGCACGGGTTGATGTCCTTAGTATTGCTATGTATGAAGTTATTAAAACTGGAGAAAATTCTACTTCCGAAATAAGTACTGTTTAGGTTCTATATTAAAAGTTCAGACCAGCATATCAAAGGGTGCTTCTTAGTGAAATGATTTAGAATTGTTGCATTCCAAAAGCAGGTTTTCTCTTTAATTTTTACATCTCTCTCTCTCTCTCTCAAAATATTATACTTCATGAAAAAGACAATTGACATGGATGACAACAGCAGTCTTGAAATCAAGGGCTCACTAATTGTTCTTACCAGGGTTAGGAGAAAAGAGAGACTATTTTCAAGTAACAAAATATTTTGCTTTACAATCTTTCATTTATGAGAAAATTGGAATATAAATTCATTACATTGTGAAAAGTATCATAAGCCATATACCTTTTAATCTAAATGCAGCTTCAATATGTAACAAACCTGCACGTTGTGCACATGTACCCTAGAATGTAAAGTATAATAATAAAAAAAGGAAATAATTGAAGTTTTATTTATCCTTTAAATAACTTGAATTTTTTTCTTTAAAAATTTATGTATTTATATGTCCCCATTTAGTTAAGTGGTAGTGTAAATGTATGTTGTCAAAAGCAGTTTCTCAGAATTATAGCAAGCAATGAAAGATAATATCTAATTAGGTTGTTATAAAAAATACTACATGTGAATTAGTCCATCATATAGGGTTTGGTGCATATCTAAATTCATGCTTCTATTTCACTCTTATTCAAAACAGTTTTATATTATGTTGAACAGTGAAATCATAATTTAATTTCACGGGGACAGGGGAGTGCTATTGTTCCTGGAAAAATTAGATTTGTATTATCTTTATTTCACACCTACCACCTTAAAAAATCAACTAGTTATTTGTCATCGACAACATTTAAAACTTTGAGTCTTCAAATACATTTGACGTTAATGCTGTCATTACCTGCACTTTGATTCACTAATAACATTTCTAGGTAGTTACCAGTTTTGTCATTTTTCTGGAAAATATTTTGGAGTTGTAAATTGTTTCTTCTCTCTTTCTTCTAGAGTTGCAAATTGAATTTTTAAATCCAAGCACCTTTATTGTGGTGTGGAGAAAAGTATCACAATTTTATGTTTATTTTACCTTCTCAACCTTCTCTGGGGGTACTTTGCAAATTACCCCCTCTGGGTACTAAACAGAAGTACCAAATACATGCTGTGTGAACTCTGTCCTTAGTAAATCTATTAAACCTGAATAACTTAAAAGAACATGTGCATTTTGTAATAGTAAAATTTGATTTTAATTTTTATTTATAATTGGTGTATTTATCATAG